GCTGGGCTGAGGAAGGGCCTCATCTGTCACCTGGACACCGTGTCCATCCAGATGTGCTGGATTCAGGTCACTGAGTGAACAGAACGGTCAGTGGTGACACCAGTCCCTTTGATTTAGTAGTTCCACTCTGGGGAGTGTATGCTTTTTTGTTTGGTACTGGGGATTGAACTCAGGACTTTCCACTTGTGAGGCAGGTGGCAGCACCACTGAGCTAAACCACTAAGGAAGTAATCTTAAAGGAAATTAAAAAAATAATAATAATTTGCAAGCATGGGAGATGCCATAATCATTATATTAATAATTACATTAATAATAGAGTAATGCCTATAATAGGTGTCATGATTGAAACTAATAATACCCTTTTCCTAGCACCATTGGGAATATTTGATACAAGCTGGGCGTGGTGGCACAGGCCTGTAATCCCAGCACTCGGGAGGCTGAGGCAGGAGGGTCACTGTGAGTTTGAGACCAGCCTGGGCTACATAGTGAGTTCCGGGTCAGTCTCATTAGACCCCGTATAAAAAAAACAAAAAAAAAAAAAAAAAAAAAAAAAAAAAAAAAGAGCCTTTTTCTTTCAATCTGTTTTTGCAATCTATGTAATGTTATACTCATGAACTTTGTCTTCCATGCTTAAAGGCATTGGGAAGAGAAAGTTACCTGACCAGCTCTGAAGATTTACTGAACTACCTGACATAGCCAAAACCAGGGCACAAAGTCCATGGAGAAGAGACAACATCCAGACAGAAACATTTTAGCAGTAGGATATAAATTGCTTGTCTTGGGCCAGCACCGGCCTAGAAGAATATCACGTGCTCACGATGGGCCACATACATCAGTGAGAATTGCCTTTAATGAAGCCACATTTTACAAAGGGAAAAACACGTAAGTTAATTTTAATTCTTTTATTTAGTAAAAATCATGTAGCCAGAGTATCTTTTTGTGGTTTTTGTTTGTTTTTTGTTTTTTTTTTTTAGTCAGGGACTTGGTATGTAGTTCAGGCTGGTCTCCAACTCACTCTGTGGTCCAGGCTGGCCTCCACCTCTCAGCGATCTTCCCGCCACTGCCTCTGGAGTTCTGGGTGTACAGTGAGCCACCACGTCAGCGACATTATCTTTTTAAACATGCAGTCAATACAAAAATCACTTACAAGATATTTTGCCTTATTTTTGTTTGTTCACTCGCTATTCAGTGTGTATTTTCCAGTCCCTCTCAGTTCAGACTAACCGTTATTTCAAGTGGTCAACAGCCCCTTGTGGCCTGTGGTTACCAGACCTGGACAGTGCAGCTTTGAACCCAAAATACATCGTTTGAGTATTTTACGAGGGCATATTGACAGAGCCTTCTATAGAGAGGATGCTGGTACAGTACAGTTTGGAGCAAGCCAGCCAATTGAAGTAAGCATGGGTCTTTCCACTTCAGTCAGTGTTAGGGCTTTTAGAATTTTTTTTCTCCTTTCAGTTTAGAGCTGGGCTTCTGAGAAGAAATTTTAGTGTTACATTGAAATAAACTGGGATTCATCATATTCTTCAGTCACAAGAATGTTCTGTGCGATATTTTCAAGGTAAAACAATATCTATCTCGTTATTAAAACTGAAAAAACATTATATTGATTCCTTGGGTCGATCCATTATATAATTTAAAGTAATGCAGCCCAGAGGATGAGTATCAAGCACGCAGTATCCTAAGCGATTCCACGAAGTCCTTTCTTCGGCCTGGCTCCTCCCGGGAAGGGAGTCCCCCTCAGGCAGGCCTGTCCTTGGGAACGGCCACCTCAGTGCAGAGGAGGTCGGAATATGTGCTTAGAATATTTGGAGGTGATGCGTGGGTGTTAGAGCTTGTCTCCTTTAACAACCAAATGTCCGTAGTTACGCCGACATTTATCAAAGGGCGGATTTAAAGAAACTGGGGCTGGAGAGTGGGTTAGAGAGACTTGGGGAGAGGAGCTTCTCTTGAGAGGCCGACAACTCATTGAAAGGTAAGTCATGCTCATCCACTAGGGGTGCTAACTTTCAAAATCTGCTCGTGTATCACAGAGACTGGCATGGCTGATCCAGCCAAGACAATGATCCCTGACACCCACCACGTGAGCTCTGAGGTCCTGAGATCTAGAAGCTGACATCCACACCTTCAAAGAGGTCAGCCAGCATCTGATTGGAGGGAAGAGCTGATGGCTGCTCCTGTGGGCAGACTGAGACCGGTAAATCCAGTTTCTGGGGAGATAGGGATTTTAGGCAGTTTCAACACAGCCAGGAAAAGGGGCCCGGTAAGGCCTGTTCCAAGTGTCTGGGAAAATCCAAACCAGTACAAAGAAAATAAGCATAAAACCACACGAAACCTTAATGCTCCATTGGCTGCTAACCCTCATCAAACAAGCAGCGAACCCCCTGCCCATGCTAAATTTAAGATCAAAGCATCAGTCTTAGACCTAGATGATTTTTTTTCATAAATATACCATCCCTGACAAATGACTTTGCCAAGCGTGTGTTCCCCGGCAGCCTGTGGGGAAGGTGAGAAACTAAGTCCCGAAGCTGAGTGGGCGGCTGTGTTAAGCAAGTACAATAAGGACGGGGTGGCCGCTGACTTGACGATCTGGACGGGGACACAGCGGGGAGGGACGGTGACCTGGGCTGGGATCAGTGTCTAGATAGGAGAGACAGCTGCAGACATCAGCGAGGGGGAGCGAGCGCACCTGCTGGCAGGAGCCACAGCTGCCTCTCAGAGCAAAGCGCAAAGCGCGTGAGAAAGGCACGCGCCCAGGGCCTTGTGAAGGGCTGGCCTGGGGACAGGGACAGTGATTACTGAACACAGAGAGCAGCGTGAGGGCCGGGCAGGGCCTCCCCTCCCCATAAGAGCAGCTGGAGACGGAGGAGAGGAGGGAGCAGGAGGAGACTGGCCCAGACTTGCAGGGAGCTCACCTTGCCCAGCATCTTCATCTTCAGCCATGGCTGTGGCTGTCAAACCCGGCCTGAGGGTTTTCCAGGTTGACTTGGCAGAAGCAGGTTCAGGGCCTTTGGGAAAGGTTCTGACGATGCCTGGGCGTGGAAGCGAGTGGAGAGCGGCTGGGGGCTTGTGCCTCTGCCAGATGAGTGCCTGGTGGGTGTGGGCCAAGGAAGAGGTGAGGGGGTCCCTGCAGCTGCTGCTCTGCTCCACCCTAGAGGGGCGACAGTGGAGGGCGTGAGAGGGTTTACAAGGGCTAGAGAGGTCTTGGGACAGAAAGAGGATCCAAGAGTGACTTGGGGGCAACAGGGACGGGGAGTTGCAGTCCAGCCAAGGCTGGGTTGGCTGGGGTGACTGGGGTGATAGGGCAGGTGGGATCGGCAGAAGGCACAAGACTCCCTCGAGGAGCCTCACCCTCTGAGGTGAAGTTTGTTCAAGAGGCATAAACTGGACTCGTGTGCACCTGTAATCAGGAAGATGGGTAGAGTTCAAGAGCAGTCTGGGCAACTCTGGAGACCAACTCAAAAGGACTGGGGATGTAGCTCAGGGGTAGAGCACCACTCGGTTCAATCACCAGTACCAGGACAAAAAACAAAACAAAACGCAGGCCTGGAGGGAAAGGCTGGAGTCAGCTGGCAGCACTGGGGGACAGGGCCAGGCCGTAGGAGAGGCTGAGGAGGGGAGCGCACGCTGAGCAGGTCAAGGTCAGGCAGGCTCTTCCAGTTACCTGATTTTAAGGGACACAGGAGGGTGGGGAGTGGCAACCCAAGGGTTGGGGCCGGAGAAGAGGGAACAGGGCTCAAGTCCAGGGGAAGGGAAAGGCCAGGTCTAGACCCAGTGGGCAGTGGGGCCAGGAGCCAGGGCTCCACCAGGAAAGCCAGCGAGTCTGAGGTGAGGGTGAGGCAGTCTGAGCTGGAGGCTTAGCGACCCCTGGATAGGCCTCAGTCCCTCAGTCTCTAGGAAATTCTACCGGGAGTCTGTAAACAGGAACTAAGTCACTCAGACAATGACCTTGACTCACACCTGTCTCTCCTGGGTCCTCCCAATACAAGCCTCATTCTACATACAAGTCCATCAGCTCAGGCACTGAGGTGAGGAGCTGCCAAGTTTGTTCCTGCTGACTCTAGGCCCTATTTCCTTGACTCCACAGTGGTCATCAACGTCAGAGGTAGATTCTGGTAATGGTTCCATTTTGCAAGTGAAGAAACTGAGGCTCCAGGAGGAAAGATATTGCTCAACTTATTCAGGAGATGGTAAAACTACTTTGGAGCTAGGTCTGTCTCTGGCCTGCCTACCATTATGTGAAGAAGGATCAAACAGAAGCAGAGAGGCCATAAGACTTGCCCAAGATCACACAGTAATTAAATGGCCAGCATTGTTCCACCCTGCTGCGACAGGCCAGCCAGAGCCAGAGGTCTGCCTCTTCTCAGGCTCATGTGGCCAAGTCAGGAGATGCAGCACAGCAGGAACAAGGGGACAGGAGTGGCGGGCGTAGCTGACCATGGTGCGACCCTTCTCTGGGCTGAAACTGACTCCCAGCTTCTGACTCTGTCTGAGAACCTGGTAGCCGAGCATGGCACACTCCGTCCCTGCCCTGGTCTCCCTGGAGAGGGAGACATCCTCTGAGGCCAGTGGCATGGAGAGATGACAGTGTGGGCGCCCAGAGGAAAGCTCACTCGAAGGGCTCTTTACTGAGTACCTACCAAGTGCCACACCGTCTAGGAGCTGGGCTATAGCAGGAACAAGCATAAAACACCCCTGGGACTTGGAAATGTGGCTCAGATGTGCTACAGTGCTTGGTTTCAGGCAGGCATGGTGCCGCTGAGCTACATCCCCAGCCCTACAGTGCTTGGTTTCAATACCCAGCACCACAAATAAACAAATAATCCCACCTGACTAGGCATGATGGTGCACATCTGTAATTCCAGACAGCCAGATGAGGCTCGCTCCGGTTCGGACGTGCCCTACGGCGGCTCGCGGCGCCCCAGGCCCCAGCTCTCTGCACTTGACGCTCCCGCCCCGGCCG